CAGTTTCAGAGGAGTGATGGTAGTGATCTGTATCATCAGCGATTTGTCTGTCTTCCTGCCAGCTCCAAATCAGCTTATCTGATTTGTTGATGTGGCGCATCAAGCAGAAAAAGTTACATTTTTGCAACCCCAGCAGTAGCTTTGTTTGCAGCGCGTTGCACTCGTCAGATGCTCAAACTCTCATGACGCGCTGCTTCAGCTCCTCAGACGCGATTCACCTGCTGCTCAAAACTCACTGCGGGAGTCAACCATTGACTTTGCATGTAAACAAGCTGCTCCTGCTGCCTTTGCTGCTTGCGGTCTGAACGTAGCATAAGATACTCCACAATTCAACCACCAAGTAGATTTTATGGACACCATGAGCACCAAAACACAATTAACAAAGATACAGCAGCGTAGTAAATCAGAATTTTTAAATTTATGCTTTGACTTCTCTACCTTTGAGGCCGTACTATAAGCCTAATCTGAGATTGTTTATATCCCATCTAGGCGTCTAGCTAAGGTTTGTTTGTTTGTTCATCCTGGAGGTAATTTTCATTTTTCATATTCCGCCGGATTTCTCTTTTTAAGATGCTGAAAAAGTTTTGTGCTTCTGCCTTTAACTGCGACTGCTTTAGACAAATGTTTCAGCATGGGGTTTCTTTATTTATTTATCCTTTATTTAACCAAGTAATACCCATTGAGATTAAAAATCTCTTTTGCAAGGGAGACCTGGCCAAGATAGGCATCAAAACTACTTCACATCATTACATACTTACAAAGACACACACATAAAAGCCAAATATGCACTTACAATAAAATTTCAATTAAAACATTGACATGTGAGGGATTCCAACTTAAAACATCTCATTCTCAGCTTAAAAGTATTCAAAGGAACCAATTTACTAAGTTTCAAGTTATTTTGCAGCAAATTCCATGTAAAGGGAGCAGAGTAAGCAAAGGCCTTTTTACCCCATCAGTACTGACACATGGGACAGAAAACAAGACAACAGCCTGAGAATGGAGAGAGTAATGACCAGTACTTTTTTTCATAAGAAGGGAACACAAATAAGAAAGAAGCGCACCAAGAATAGCCTTATATATAAATATATACCAATGACAAAGCCTCCGTGTAGCCAAGGCAGACCACCCTACACGAGAATACAGCTCACATTGATGGGTGCGAGCTTTACAATTAGTAATAAATCTCATTTATGCGTGATAGGCTGCGTCAATCATCTGCAGGCATTGAGCAGATGAATGCATATATAATTTATCACCATAGTCCAGCACAGTTAAAAAAGTGGATGTCACCAACCGTTTTTTTTACATTAAAAGAAAAGCACCGCTTATTTCGAAAGTAAAAACCCAATTTTAGTCTCAACTTTCTCACTAGACTGTGAACATGAGGCTTAAATGATAGGTGGTCATCAATAACTATACCAAGATACTTATAAGTTGTAACAATCTGTATTTCACGTCCATCAAGAGCAGGGGTGGGCAATTCCAGTTCCTGGGGGCCAGTATCCTGCAACTTTTACATCCATCCTTGGTCCAATACACCTGGATCAAATGGCTGAATTATCTCCTTAGTATGCTGTCAGTTCCTCCAGAGTCCTCTCAATCATCTAATTACTTGATTCAGATGTGTAGAACCAAAGACATATCTAAAGGTTGCAGAATACCGGCCCTCAGGAACTGGAATTGCCCACCTCTGATCAAGAGTAACCACTGAAGGAACATTCAGTGGCCTGTTCCGAAGGTCTGTGAAAAGCATACATTTAGTTTTGTCTGCATTGAGCACAAGTTTCAACTGTAGCAAAGTATTTTCTGGCTCCACATCTGTCGCAGCAAATCCAAAAAAATTCCAAACGATGGTTGATTTTATTCTTTTTTTCAAGACTTCACTTCCCACTCTCACCGGTAGCCTTGATGTTGCTTGCAAAACTACAAAGCGGGAGTAATACGGCTACCGAAAATTGCAGTCTTATACAAAAAAGTTTTTTTTAACGCCCGCAACAAAAAGAAACGAATTAATTCATAGAATTTTTTTTATAATTTTTTTTGTCCAGGCCTACTTTGAATAATATCAATATGGTTATGAAATTCTTTTTAAAAACAAACTTAATTTCCTTTGTGGATGAACATTTCTTAAAAATTATGAGGATCTTTGCAGATGTTCTTTTTTTTATATATATTATCGATTGATTTACTTTATTGATCTCACAATGCAGAAACTTACTCGTTACATCAGCTTAAATAGTCAAAGGAGTAGAATGTGCCACAAGAAGAAAAAGGTGCATGGATACATACAGTATACACAGTGCGTACACGTATAACGGTTTCTTTTTTTTAAAGCAGGATTATTATACAGGGTCATTGCTCAGGGTGTTTACATGGGTATTTATATAGATGGATATTTATATATATAGTTATTGCACTGGGTGTCAAATGTAGAGAAACATACAATAGTAAATTGCACATTATACATTGCACAAGTTATTGCCGTTATAGTGTGGCATTGTAGAGTCTGGTGGCAGCAGGAATGAATGACCTGTGGCAGCGCTCCTTTTTACAAACAGGTTGTAAAAGTCTTACACTAAAGGAGCTGCTCAGCTCCTCTACAGTCTGGTGCAGAGGGTGGAAGGTGTTTTCCATGATGGATGTAAGCCTGGACAGCACCCTCCTCTCACCCACTTCCTCCATCGAGTCCATGAATCGGGAACAGCCGGTTAAATCACAAAGGGTGAAATAATACTTTAGCTACTTCCTTAAGTCCTAGTTGAGCTTAAAATAAAGCACAGATGAAGCAGAGCTGAAAAAAGAGCAGGAGGAAATTCAAGCCTTCTCTTCCATCAATAATTATACGAGATCATTAGAGAAAAAGAACTCTGATCCCTAGAAAGGACCCGGTCACAATATCTGGAATAGACTTTAATGTGATTCACTGAAACATGGCTGCATGTCCTTTGCCAGGTTTTCTGATAATACAGCAGAGGCCATACATATGGAGGTGTGGTTCTGACTGTACTGAGCACCCAGAATGGACCTGTGCTTTATTCCAAAAGCACTTGTGGCTTTAATCCTTTTCATAACTAAGCTACGGGCTCAATAACTGGTGCTGTTGCTGTTTCACAGAATGAGAGAAAGGAGGAAATGACCATTAGGCATTCATTGTTGCCCTGTGTTGCTGCGCCCTCTTCCACTCATGCTCAGTCACATCATCCCCAATAGACTGGCATGATCAGAGAGAGCTCGAAGAGCAACGCTGTTCTGATCAGTGATCGGCATAAATCGACCCTCTCATTCGCTGGTCTAAGAACAGGTTTCCCGCTGGTCCTTAAAAAGTCTTAAAATAAAATAAAACTAAGGCCTTAATTGGTATTAAAATGTCTTAAATCAGTCTTTCGTAGGTCTTATTTTTTAAAGCATTATAAATAGGATCATTTTTATTACGATTTATTTTTGTAATCTAAATAAAACATTAAAATTGAAAAAAAAATTTTTTATAAAAAAAAAAAAATAACGGCTCCCCATTATTGGTTCCGTCCCGATAGCGGAACCAATAAAAGCGTTGTTGCGGCCGGGACATTTGGGAGATGCGCCATTTACTTTTTGTCTGGAAAATATGAGCAAGTGTAAATGTAACGAAAACTGTCTATCCAGCCAAGAGTTTTCTCCATGGCTAAAACCAGGGGACATACATGAGGCACGGTGTATTTTATGCAAGAAGTCATTCAAGCTCGGAACGATGGGAATTAAGGCAGTGGAGTTGCACATGCGAAGCACGAAAAAACAAAGCGTCAAAATCAAGTTACCGAGAAACAGCCGGTATTTCTCAATTTTTTTCCACCCTTGTCTCTGCAACGCCTCCACGTATCACCAAATCAAACATACTAAGAAAACGATACAAAGAAAAATAACTGCAAAAAAGACTTAGCACTGGTTATGTTGTGGCTTTAAAACTGATTTATTTTGTTCCCCGCTAAAACAAAGTTTGTGAATTCAGGTAAATAATTGTTCAAATATATCTGTTATTTGTTTGTTTTTAGCTTTCTTCCCATATGGGAAGTTTTTCAAAGTTTGAAACATTAGTGCAGTGGTTTATGTTAAAATAAACCTTTGGGTTAAGTTCTCGCAAGCAGGTTTTTCTTGTGTTTCTTGTAAATTTGGTCTTAAATTTTTATTTCAAGTGGCATTAAAGTCTTGAATTTAATTTATCTTATGCTGTAGGAACCCTGAAGAAGCGGGAAACAGGTGATTGTATAATTAATAAAAGGCATTTCTTGTCCCCGTATGCCCACTGTACCTTTTCTTTTAACATGATACTTTGGATTGTGAAACAGAACTCAGCTTTATAGATTGAACTGTGCAAAGGGATTTTTACAAGAGTCTCCATCAAATAAAACATTAGGATGATTGTTCGTTGCTCTGGTTATGCTAACGGAAACCTCCACTTAGGTCTCCCAAGTTGGTGCCTTTTTTGTTTCATATATGCATCTCTAATGAAGCATGAAGTTTCAGTTGATCAGGTGGCATCTGATAGCTTTTACTCTGCAATGAAAAACACTGTTTAAACCCAGCACGGTTTGTTGCTTAGCAGTTTTTGCAGCTGAAAAACGTTTATTTTTTCTCTATTGATTTCAAGCAACATAACATTTGTTGCTGCCACCAAAAAAAGATTCCTTCGGCAGTTGGTGGTTGCATGGATTCAGATCAGATTCATAGCATGTTTTACTGCTTGTTTGCAAGTTATCAAATTCATAGAAACTCAAGAACCAGTTGGTCTAGATCAACTGTTTATTTACATGCCACATTAAATAACAGAACGTCAATGTTTTTTTTTTAATCATCTAAAGCATATTTTAACTGACAGAAGAATAATGCTGCATTGTGTATTTGATTTGATAAATTTCCTTTGAATTATTTCTGGTTTTTGGAAAAAGGAACCAACCAGCCTGCAGCCTGACTCTGGTTTAATTCCTGATGCCTTTGTTTTCTTTTTTGTTCCCTTTCTGTAGCTGTTTCTGGAGTTTGAGAATGCATCGCAGCGATGTTCGTGGGTGCAGGTGTATGGCGATAGAGTAAAAGCCATGTTTGTGGAAGACTCAGTCGTTTGGGTCAACCCCAGTGATGGTACGAGGACAAGTGGAGTCCCAGGACCGACAGCACCCTGGCCTGCTCTGGTGAGTCGACAGTAGGGTGTTTAGAATAATGACAACAACATGGTGTGTCTCAGGAAATTGAAGGTCTACTAGTCAAAAGTGGCTAGTCAAAAATGTCACTGATTAATTATTAGTTATAAAATTAATAATTTTATTATTAATTAAATAAAATCGATCATTAATGACAGCCGTCTCAATGAGGTAATTTCTACAGAAGTTACCTTTCCCATCACCTCTGGCTCCTCTGTAGATGGCCAACATATTCAGCGTTTAAAATCAACATGGAAAATAAACATTTGCTTACATTTTAATAAATAAAATACTACATTGAATATGAATCTATAAATAAAGATGTTTACTATAAATCACCTAAGTTTAATTAGTAAAAACCAAAGATAATAACTACTAGGGATGCACGATATTGGGATTTTGGCCGATATCCGATATGCCGATATTTTAAAACTCATGTAGCCGATAACCGATATCGATACTGA